ACTATGAGGAAACAGGAGGCGTCCGTCCCCAGATAGGGAGTTGAGGGGCATGTGGGGACATCGGTCAGAGCAGGCTGGGGAAGGCTCTGAGCGCCGGCCCTTAGGAGTCTGGAAGGACAGGCAGGCTTTCCTCAGCTGGGTGGGCTGTTAGGTGAGGACGGAGCCGAGAAGCTGAGGCCTTTCGAAGGCGACAGTGAGGGACCTAGATGGTTCAGTGATGGGGTCCCCCAGCCATGCTTCCCCAAGCCTCTGCTGGCAGCACTGACCACACCCAGTCCTTGTGCCCTAAGGATGGAGGATAAACCCAGGGCGAGGAGCTGTTTCGGTCAATGTCACAGAGGTTTCAAAAATATTTTCTGGAGAAGCGTTGAGCGACTCAGGTCCCCTGAGAAGGTTCTGTGATACAGTTGGATTCAAGGGTTGGAATGAGCTAGACAGCGATAGGGTTTGCTCTGTGAATGCTTCAGAATGTTCCGTCTGGAAGTACTTCTTCAGTGCCGTCGGGAAGTGCGTACCAAACACCCCCTCGTGTGCTGGAGGGATGGAGAGGACAGCACCAATGTTGCCGGGAAAGAAAGAGGTCTTCGTCGCCTTGTGTTGGGCAGCTTGGAACAAGCAGGCTGGGGGACAGTGGGGAGGGGGGCTTGATGGTAGGGCTTTGGTTCCCCTTTCAGATAAATGGGGAGGTTTTCCATTTGGACAGTAACAAAACGAGGCATCCTCAGTCCAGGCAAGAAGGCAGAGTGGTTCATACCTTGGTCCCTGGAGGACCCCCGAGGGCTGTGCGCTGAGGCCCCCTGGATGGGCATGGGTGGGACCTCGGTGTGGAGGGCTCACCCGCTGGGCTGCCTTTGCTTCCCTCTGGCCTTGGTGCGGGAGCCTGGTTGGTCCTCAAGTTCAATTCTGCACCTTACTCTTCCTGGGAAAAGAAGCCGGTGGAAACGCACCCACTAACTGGGGTGGGAGGTGGGAGTGAGGGAACAACAGGCTTGGAGGCCTCCCCAAAGTACCCCCTATCCCACCCAATGGGGCACCCGCAGCGGCAGGGTGGGGGCCTCCATTTAAGGAGAGTCTCCATTTGTCCCCACCATGCCTGCCTCAGCTCCCAGATGAATGACCCTCCGGGCCTGTATGACATAGTCTTCGCTGGGCTGTCTCAGTATATTTCACAACTGCTCTGAGTTTATAATTTTTTTCGGGTCCTTTATCAAATGTGCGTCATAAATACCAATAGGATCGGGACCATTTATCACCTAGCTAGGTTCTTACTTGAGCTCTGGAAGGGAGGGGAGGAAAAAAATGATTTGGCCTAAGAACCTTTCTTGGGGCTCTGATTTAATGGACTTCTCCGCTACAAAGCCCTGAAACACCCTGCCTTTTTAATATTTGACATCTCTTCCTCTTTATTACCATCTCAGACAGTCCAGCTGGAACGAGCCCATTAGTCTCTGACAAATAACTTGCGTCGTGTGGTGAAAAACATGCAGAAGTTCGGCTACAACTTCATCTTCCGTTAGGGGTCTGTCTGAGGCCTCACGCACTAAGCAAAGACTCCAGCCCCCAGGCAGACTCTCCCAGCACCCCATTCCCCCTGAGGCTGCTTGCTGCCGGGTCCTCAGAGCCAGGTTCCCCGAACTACCTGGCACCAACGGGGCTTAAGACTGAGTATTCTAAGGCAGGGGTGACTTGGTGGTAGAATTCTTGCCTTCCACGTGGGAGATGCAGGTTCGATTCCTCGGCAGTGCACTGGTGCAATTGGACCACCAGGCATCTGGAGTGGGGGTGTGGGGGTCGCTAAATGCTGAACAGGCTTCAGGGGAGCGTTCAAACTGAGGCAGGTCAGGGGAAAAGGCCTCAGAGACCTGCCTCGGAAAATCAATCCGTGAAGGCCCTACAGACCACAGCAGCACGATTCACGACGTATGTGGGGCTGGGCCGGACCAGGCCGTGTCTCCTTCTGCCCCGCCCAGTGACCTGAGTCCCGGCTGGCCGACGGGGTGTGTAGGAGTTAGCCTCAAACGGAATCACAGAGGAGAAGTGGGTCCAGGGGAGGTCCACTGTGAACTGGAATCCATCTTTTAGTCATGCCTCCTCTCTTGGCTGGCTCTGGCTGCATCACCTACCGCTTGGCAACTTGGCCACTTAAAAGTGAGTGTGGGGCTGCCATTCAGGCTACACTCAGCTGATCTGGGTCAGGTCTGAAGGGCTCCCTGGAACTGCTTGTTCCAACTGACCCCTGGGTCCTCCGGCAGACTAGTCTGGGCGGGTTCATAAGGCAACAGTGATGAGGCAAAAGGGAGCAGGGCGTCCGGAGGTGGAGATTCACAACTCACAAAGGTCATCTCCGCCACATCCTGCGGTCCAAAGCAAGACACCAGGCTAGCCTCAATCCCAAACCGAAGAGCCAAACCCACTGCCACCCGGTGGATTCCAACTCACAGCGAGCCCATAGGACACGGTAGAAGTGGCCCCTGTGGGTTTCTGAGACAGAACCTCTTTATGGGATTAGAAAGCCTCATCTTTTGCCCCCACAGAGCAGCTGGGGGCTTCAAACTGCTGACCTTGTGGTGAGCAGCCCAATGTGTTGCGAGCGAGCCCAAGGCTCCATCCAAGACCCAAGGGGTGAGCAAATGGATTCTATCCCTTGCTGGTAGGAGCTGCAAAGAGCGTTTGCGATCTCTCACCCCTGCTCCATCTCTTCCAATACACGCACCCCCCACACAAGCACATCATTGCCTCACTTATCCCCCCTCCATATTTCTCAGGGCTCTGGCAGCTCCCGTCCCCGTCTCCCCATTCCTACTCTCATTTCCCATTTGGATTCTACAGAGGGCACCACCAACATGAGCTCTTCCACCCGCCCTGCCTGTGTGCCAGGCTCTCTGCCTGCTGCTCTCAGAGCACCATCTCATTTAACCTTCAACACTTGAGGGTCAGAGACAGGGCCTGTGGTGGGGGCTGTGGGGGCCGTCATGTGACTGTCCAGAGTCTGATAGGAGGCAGCGTTCGGGCTCACCTCCAGACCTGGCTGTCAGTCGTGCAACTCAACTGCTGGGCTTCCTGCAGGCCGTTGGACCTTCAACCTGCTGCTGGAGTGGCCCATCTGGCACCCAAGTCTTGACCTGCTGCTCGCCTACACAGGGGCAGGCTCCTCTGTACCCGGGGTTTGGTGCAGGCTCCTGGGGCAGGGCTCAGAGAATCTGTCCCACTGTCCTTAGAATCTGCTGCAAGGAGCCCTGCCAGCGCCCCTACCCCTCTTGCTTCAGGCAGGTCAAGCCCACACCCTATGTGGCTGGGGATAGCCACACACCCATGTAGAAACCTGCAAGTGGGGGCCCTGGGGCTCAGGGACTTGAATTCCCCATGAACCTCCAAAGGCTCTCAGTCTCCATGCACAGGTGACTCAGGGACCCCTTCGCACCATCTGCCCTCGTCTTTAATCAAGCTCAGCGTGTCCCCACAAAAGGGTACCTGGCCTCCTGGGACCTGCAGAGTGCCCCCTCCCCATCCTTGACCTTCTCTTGACCCTCTGACCTTCCTCACTGTGAGAAACCTGAGGTCCCATGTGACAGGTGCTCCATGTGACCAGTGTAGACACTCAAGAGAGGCCCAGGGGCTTGTCCACAGACCTGACCCTGAGGCAGAGCTCAGGAGTGAGTCTTGGCCAGCAGCTGACCCATGGGCAGTCATGGGCAAAAGGACTGGTCAGGCTGAAGTAGGACCTGTCTCTCAACTGCCATCGAGTCGATGCCGACCCGGAAGGGAATGTCAAGCAGCAGCCAGCGTTCAGCACAGATCCGAAGGGCCCGAGCGGATGGAGAGGGCTTAGAGGTGGGACTCAGCTGACAAATTAAATAGCCCTGCCTGATGGCAGACGAGGTCATTCTGCCCGAGCACCAGGGCCTCTGGTGTCCGGCTCCCAGGCACGGTAGGGCAGGCTCCTCACAGTGGCTGCAAACCTCCCCAAGGATGGCTGGGCCAGGCCAGGCCAGGCCAGGCGATACACTGGCCATCTAAAGACCCTAATGTCTGCAAATGAAAGAGAAGATGTAACCTCAACAGGGGGGTTATCAGACACTTTCCTCCTTCCCCCTTCTGAGCCCGGGGGACGGTCTGGGAGGAGTGATTGGAAGCCCCACATCTGGAGCCCACAGGCCTGGACACTCTAGGTGGCCAAGGCTCCCAGTGCAGGTAGGTGGCACCAAGGTGGGCAGGCCCCAGAGCCTGCTTCTGGGGACCTTCCGGGGCACCCAGCCAGGGTCCTACCTCTGACCCCCTGGGGGGAGTGTGCGATTCCTGAGAACGGACCCAGCAAAAGGGAGGAAGTCCGGAGTCCCTATAAGTGTGAGGGTGGGGAGGAGGGGCTTGCCCCTCCTGATTCTCACTGCCCCTCGATCCTCCCCACCCCATGGGCTTGCGTGTCTAACCTAAGGGATGCTGTTTTTACAGGTTGTACGGTTTGTATTCCTTTGACCCATATCCAGTCCATCTTACATCACAGCACCATTGCTTCTCTCGGTACCAGCCACGTCCGCTCTCATTAGCCGCTGGAGAACTGTGTGGTGTAGTTGATATCACAGGTCTTAACTGTGTGTGAGAATGTATCCTCTGTGTGTCCAACGGTTGGATGGGAACCTTCCCCCATCACCCCCATCTCCGGCCCCAGCCTCTCCATGTCTGGGTTTTAGCTGGACATTTAGTTATTCTGATTGTATTTGGGGGGCTCTGGGTTTGGGTTTTCTTCCTAAATGGTGATTCCTTTAGTTACGGACGCTCTCCCAGCTCCTGCTTGTCCACGCATTATGTCTGTGACTCCTTCGGACTGTCCTGTTGAGCCAGTGTTGTCAAGAGACAGTATCTAGCGATTCCTATTTCTCTACTCCTTGGGAAGGGAGAAACCGATTTTTGTAATAAGTAAATAAAAATTAAAAGGGGGAAGGAAAACAAAACCAAAACCTCTTAATGGGAACCCGGCCCTGTCTGTCTTCTCTGTTCTGCAGAAATGTTGAAGGAATTGAACCAGCAGCGCAGAGCGAAAGCGTTTACAGACCTGAAAATTCTTGTTGAAGGCAGAGAGTTTGAAGTGCACCAAAATGTTCTAGCTTCCTGCAGCTTGTATTTCAAGGACGTGATTCAAAGGTTTGCCTTCCTTCCAGCTGTGGTCGGGTCTGTTCCTTTGTAGGACGCTTTTGTGTGGTTTTTCTCCTCCCCTCTCTTGCAGGTTCCTGAAGCGTGACTCCCTGTCACAGAGCCAGTAGCCATCTCACCTTCTACCCCCACGGCCCAGTGTCCTCTCACACACAGCCTCAGGGCAGCCACGCCCCCCACCCCACCCAGCCTGCCCCACACAGCCTTCCTGGCCACCAGGGGCTTCCTGGCCACCCCATCCCCGGGCCCCCAAGTGCTTCGTGGCTCACACCCCTCCCTGAGATTAGGACAGGAGGCCCCATGGGAAGGGATCACTGCACACTGCCCCCGCTGGGCCAGCACGGGGTCCCCAGCGCTGTCGCCACCACGGCTGTGGATGGCGATCTTAAATGCCAGGAAAGAAAAAAAAAAAATGCATCGACCAGGCTGTCTCCCTCGGAGGAGCATGAGGCTCCCAAGGGGCCGCTTGCCCCATCCGCACCCCGAAGGGGAAGAGGAGACTTGTAGCCAAAGGCCCTTCCACGCTGCACGTCCTGAGACTCGTTCACTGAGCCCCAGCGGGTGGCGCCTGCAGGCAGACCACGTGTGTCCTAAACACGGTCTATCCGCCTCAGCCCCGCCCTCTCTGCCCGACCTGAATGAGTCTTACTGGTGCATGAGCATCTTTTCCTTCCTTCCTACCTTCCTCTCTTTCTTTTTTTCTTTCTTTCTTCCCTCCCCCACCCTCTGCCATTATGTTGATTTTTTTCCCCCCTTATAATTTGTCTGCTTCATACCCTCTCAGAGAAGTCAGGGGCCACCTTCTAGCTCCTTCGTGAGGGAGCACAGCGAGGGGGGCCAGCCCAGGGTAACGCTCACGTTTCTCTCACCCATCAGCAGATTAATGCCGCTGCTCATTTTGCCTTGCAGCCTCTGGGGCAGACGCGGAGCTGGGACTGTGCTCAGAGCGGGAGGACAGGACCCCTGCTTGCTTCCCGGTGCTCTGTTTGAATTGCCAACTAATCCCCCAGTGACTGTGTTTTGTTTCAGGACGGCTCCCTGGCTGGCACCTCCTTCCGCTCCGTTGTGTCCTTTCCACCCAGCCTCGCCGGCCTTGGTGGCACAGGGAGGGGCAGCTCTCTGTAGCTTCTTGCCTCCTTTGAGGACCATTCGGGTCTCCCGTCTCCCCCAACCCCCCATGCTCAGGGTCTCGCCATGCGAGCACAGGGCTCCCGGGGGTGGGGCTTCTTCAGGCTGGGGTGGTCTTGGCGCTTACACCCTTGGCCAATCCCAGCCCCTGGCTGCCGGGTTGCAAGCGTACCAACCGACCAGATAAGCAGGACAGGATGCAGGACAGGACGGCCTGGGATAAGAGGCTGTGGGCATGAAGACCTCGGGACCCCCCCCACCCCCCAACCCACCCTCACCCCACCACACTTACCTGGAAGGCCCTACATTTATAGCCAACACTAACACACAACTGATAACAGGACACCACTAGGTGGGCTCCCAGAGGGTGCAGGGAGCGAAGGCCTCTGAGACAGGATGAGAAGGAGGAGGAAGGAGATTCCAGGACAGGGACTGAAAGAGCGATGGAGGGAGCAAGTCTTCCCAGAGATGGGTGTGCTTTGGGTGGGCCGCACTGACCCCGAGCTAGGACTCGGGGCTTGTGGTGAAGGTGTAGGGCCATCAGGAACAGCAGGCAGGGTGACCGCATGGAGATGGGGCCCAGTAGCACCCACCGCAGGACCTTAACTGGAGAGGTAGAGGTAGCAGCTGAGAGGCGGTAGCTGGAGAGGCGAGGACACCCCCTTGGGAGAGAGCTCGGAGCTGGGAGACTCTCCCAGGCAGATACAACCTCGTCCTCAGGTTTCCTCATCTGTAAAACAAGAGGCTAGTGGTCATCCTTGGGGCGGAGGCGCTGGGCAAGGCCAGCTCTAGGGATGGAGGCTCACCGTGAGGGCTCAGGCACATCAGTCTCAGGGAGGGAGGGCTAGGAAGCAAACAGGTGTTGGGGGAGACGGTGCATCAGTGTTGGGTACTGTGCATGCGTGTCAGCAGCGCGAGGAACATCCTTGCTGGGCAGCCTGTAGGGCACAGAAGATGGATGTAAAGGAGCCTGGAGACCATCTAGGGCCCTCAGGAGACAGGGGGAGACCTGAGCAGAGCCTGAGGCACCCCGTGTTAGAAGAGCCCAACATTCGTTTGCCATCGTTACACACATTCGATTTCCCTGGTCCTAATCATAATAGCTGCAAGCAAATTCCTAATACAGGAAGAACAGCAGAAGCTATCCTGGAAAAGCGTTTCCTCTCTGGCCACATAAAGAGAGAGATCAGCTGAGGTCACCCTGCCGTTTCAGTCTCCTTCAGGCCTGTGGCCCTGGGGACCTGATGAACAGGCACCATGTAAGCAAGCATGAGCACCCCCTAGGGGCCAGGCCTGGCACAAAACACTAGGCAAGATGGGTGGGGTGTCCTCCTGGAGCCCACGGCCTTGGAGGCATAACAAGAACGCGCCCCAGAGCAGAGAAAGGGTGGAAAGGGAGACCCCGAGGGGCTGGCTGGCAGAGCGGCCTTGAAAGAGGTGGCATCATCAGACAGGCGTTCTGCAGGAAGGAAAGGCATCCGCCGGACAGGGCAAGCAAGTCGGGAGAGCGCAGAACCGGAGAGATCCTGGGTTGGCGGCATTATGGGAACTGCAGCATCATGTGTGAGGGCTGAGAGGGAGGCAGGAGGCAGGAGCCAGACCCCAAGGGCTTTGTTTTCAGCCCCTCTGACTCGTGGCCCCTGCGGCTCTTCAGCTCAGCTGCCTGTCAGCCTCACGCATGGGTCAAGCAAAGACTGGCCAGCGCCTTCCCCGAGGTCCAGGCTGCAGGTGTCCTGCCCTGCCCAGACCGCCTTCCATAGTGAATTGCAAGTTCGTGCCTCGAGGGGAAGATCTACCCCTCAAGGAGAGGGGAGATGCGTCTGATGTCATCCCAGACATCCTCCCACAAGCCTCCAGAAGCAGGAAACGCTTAGCCACCCCCGTTTTACAGAGGAAGACGTTGAGGCTCAGAGAAGTGGATTAGGCAGGAGATAGGAAGGGAGCTCGAGTCCACAGCGTGTGTTCTTTCCTTGGTCTGGCCGACCCACACGAGAGCTGATCCGGATTAAGAATCCATGCAGTCTGTGAGGAAGGAAGGTAGACTTCCAGGGCTGGCGGTGAGGACTGGCCTTCAAGGAAAAGAGAGAGAGAGAGAGAGAGAGAGAGAGTGTGTGTGTGTGTGTGTGTGTGTGTGTGTGTGTGTGTGTGTGTGTGTTAGAAACAAGTGCACATTTTCCAGGGGACCCCTTCGCCAAAGGAGATACAACCCCCCCTCAAAACAGGCCCCAGGCCGCAGGCACTCACCCACACCAGGTGGCAGGCTGTACTCGGCATGGTGAGGGAGCGCTGGGAACCGAGGCGGCCTTAGAGGGGGTGCATGACCAGTGCCCGTACTGAGAACACTGGGCCCAGGGTGTCCATCCCTTGATCACTGCCCCCAGCCCCTCTTTGGACCACGAGAAGGACTGCACACTGTACTGGCCGCCCCTCCCTCAGCAGGGTTTGCCGGAGGAGGAGGGGGGGCTTCATGAGGAGAGGCCAGACCTGGTAAGCCCTGGCAATCTTCCGGCCGATCACAGGCTTAGGCACGCAGTGGGGCAGTTCTGTGCTGCACCCAGAGTACCACGAAAGGAAGGCCTGGTGATCTACTTCCCAGAAAACCAGCCAAGGGAGCAGCTTTCTTCAGGCACAGGACTGGTCACCAGGAGTCAGCATAGACTCCATGGTGTCGGGTTGGTTTTCCAGTCAAACTAGGAGCGGCCTGGGGCCACTGCCTCCCTAACCCAGAGCTGTTTCTCACCCCTGGGAGTGGGACCAAGCCCTGTCCTGGGTTTTCTTTTTTGGCCCCTGGAAGAGATGGGGCCACGGGGGACACCCATCGTGCCAGCTCACTGGCTGGGCCAGCAGCAACCCCTTCTTAGAGACAGGGCCAGCTCTGCTCTCCCCAGACCCATGGGGTGGGGGAGGGGGCAGGGAAGGCCCAGCCAAGGAGAGGAAGACCCTCAACCAGCTGGATTGTCCTGGTGGCTGCAATGGGGGCTCGAACAGTCCGGCAATCGTGAGGCTAACACAGGACCGGGCGACGCTTTGTTCTGCTGTACACCGGGATGCAGCGGCTCAGAACCGACCCGACAGCACCGAGCTGCAAGAAGGAGGAGGAGAGCCACACTCTCCTCAGACGCAGCAGGCTCCCTGATGCCGGCCACGCACACACCAGCCGAGACCCTCAGCTCAGCTGCCTGTTGCCGCCTGTGGTGCTCTCCCGTTTGGACAATGAATGAATGTCGATGAAGGAGCTCCCCAAATCTCATGAACAAATTCCGTTATCTTTGCATTCTCGCATTCCACGGACTTTTTGAAGGACCGCCATCCTGGGCTTCTCACCTCCTCTCAAAGAATGATGGAGAACCTCGGTGAATGTGTGTCTGCCCAGAACACTGCTCTGCAGGTGTTTCCATATAGGTCACAGGGCCTGTCCCCCAAAGTGCCGCCAACGGGACTGGAGCACGCAAGCCTTGGTGTGCAGGGGAATGTTTTCATCGTGGGTCCCACCCAGAAGCCACTGGCTGCAAGGGTCAACTGACGGAGGGACAGAGTTTCAGTTCTGCCCACAGGGCTTTCAGTAGCTAATTTCACAGAAGTGGACCAGCCTACCCCTTCTCCGTAGTCTCCTCTTGGTCTGGAAGCACCACTGAAACCTGTTTCCCGCGGGTGGCCCTGCTGGTGTTGGAAATACCCACGACACAGCTCCTGGAATCACTGCAGCACACCAGCCACCCCTGGACGACAAGCCGACAGGTGGAGAAGGACATCGTGCTTGGGAAAGCAGCCGGGCGGCGACAAAGAGGAAGGCCGTCGGCGAGATGGATGGACACCCGAGGTTACCTTGGTGGGCTCAGACCTGAGAACAGTTGTGAGGCTGGCGCAGGACCGGGCAGTGTTTTGTTCGGTTGGGCATGGGGTCGCTCTGGGTCGGGATGACTCCGCATTGATCCGGATGTGGAGAACCCACTGCCCTGGAGTCATCAAGGCAAACTTCTTTCACTACCTTCTGCGTGCAGCTGGGGGTCCGTGAGTGGGAACAGCTCAGGTAGACTCCACAGGCTTGTGCCTGATAACGAGAGGTGAGCACACCTCTCTGAAGGAGGGGCGCCCCATCACTAGGTCACAATGGGAGAGCCAGGGCCTGCTTGCCCCGCAAACAGCCTCAGGCCCCGTGTGTGCCCAAGTCTGTATTCTGGGGCTGATGATGGCCTGGCTATGCATGTGTGGGGCAGGATGGGAGCTGCACTGTTAAGTGCCCCTTCCAAAAGAGCAAAGCAACCCGGTGCATTCCAGTGGATTCCAGATTATGGAAACCCTACATGTTCGGGGTTGAACCAGGCTCCACCCGGCTGAGACCTTTTGGAAACAGATCACCAGGCCTTTCTTCTGAGGTACCTCTGGGTAGGTCTGAACCTCCAAGCTTTCAGAAAGGGGTCAAGCACTCAGCCAACACCCCATAATTCTAAAGTTCCAACAACGCCCAGTTCCAACTTGCATCGAGTCTTCAGAGGACGCTTCTTGCCGCAGAGAAGCAATAGCTAGCAGGGAAGTGTCCAGTGCCCTAATATTTAGGACCCTACCTTCCCAGCACCCAGTTAAGCAGGTGGCTGTGTCCCATATCCTGTCTCCCCCTAAGCTACACACCCCGTGGGAGTACTAGGCTCCAGGAAGTTCTCATCTTCTTCCAGGGCCCCTGGGCCTCGGTGGGAGCTGGGCAACCACAGCCTCCTGCACTGTCAATTTCAGACAGACATGGCATTGTCACTGCCTGCCCTGCCCTGCCCCACCTTCCTCCAGTGCTGCTCCCAGAAGGTCCCCACACCACTGTGTGGGGCTGGGTAGAACAGAAGGCTCACTCCCACAACCCACATAAAGCAGGGACCCCGCGGTCATTTGTGGAGTTGGCTGACCCCCACTGGGGAGAGGGGTTTCCTAGGCAAGTCCTGTCCAGAGATGGAGAGGATCTAAGGAGTACTGAGGTCTGCTGTTGGGCGCAGAGCGCCACACACACACACTCCCTGGACCCACATATAAAAGTCCACGTGTGCTCACAGGAGCCCCCACCACAAGGTCTCTCTGGGCCCTGTCTGCCCCCTCCAAACCTTAAACTCGACTGCCTGGTACTGTCCTTCCCATGCTGGACCGTCCTCTGCAACCACGGGGATGAGGATTCAGCTCAGAGGCCAGGACCCTCCAGCCACGCTGCAGACCCTGTGCCCATCAGTCCCTTCCTGCCCCCGACAGCACCCCCACAGCATCCCCACAGACCCCTCTGCTCCTCCGTCAGGCAGGCGCTGGCTGGTCCCCAGCGACCCTCTCCCTGGCTCAGATTCTGGTCAAAATGGGCAGACTCTGCAGGTGCCGCCATGCTTGCAGCCCCTTTGCAGGACTACGGGCTCCACTGCCCCACCCACCTCCCCACAGCGACCCCACTGGTCTCGGCTTGCCAGGGTGTGCACTCATGTCGGTGTGAGTGTCTGTCTGTCTGTTTGCCCCTTAGTCCCACCTCAGCTCTTCTCGGGTGTCTGCCTGGGGACACAAGGGAGACAGGGGGACAAGTCAGCCTGGAGGCAGCAGTGACTGGGGGAGGTGAGCAGCCATCTGTGTACCCATCAGCCCTCCCTGCCTCGATGGTCACCCCAGGGTGACTTCCACAGAGCACGAAGGGCCTGAGACGGAAAGGCCAGGCGGGCAGCATGCAGGAATGAACGGAGAAGGCAGGGCAGCAAAGTGAAAGGGGGAAGAGACTCCGAGTGAGAGATGGAGCAGGGGAGGACTCCGGTGTTGGTGGCAGGGGTGGACCTGATGGCCTCTGAGGTCTGGCTGTGCCTGAATTGAGAAGATTCTGAGTTATCCCACGTTGAGCTATTTTTACATGGGACAAAGTACCCAGGGGTGGGGTGGAAGGACCCATCCCAATAGCCGCAGGATACAGCTGTGCCAAGTCGCTTTGGGGGAGGGTTCTGCTCAGACCTCTACTAGCCAGAACGCCTACCCTCTCTGGGCCCACCCAGGGCTGGAAGTCAGCACCCACAGGCCCCCAGTCAGAGGAGCTGTTTCATGGGGAAGGCCAAGCCCAGCACCTCTGGGCAGGGACACTGGGCACTTACAGGGACAGCAGGATCACATTTTAGCCCGTTTTAAAGGCCCTGGGAGAAAGCTGCCGGGATGATGGAATTCCAGATACTGTCATGCAGAGAGGCTTACTTATCAGCCTCATCACATAAAATCTTCAGGGGAAACCTGAGACCTCATCTAGCTGAATGGTCTTGCTTTGCAGAAGAGGAGGCCCAGGGTTTGAGAAGCCAAGGCTGCCAGCTAGCCAGCAGAAGAGCTGGGGACCCAGCCCCTGGTCCCTGCCCATCTCCACCCACCCCCCATTTGCACAGGAGCCTGCCCCCCCTCTGGCTCGCCAGCCTCCCTTGCCGGACACCTCAGCACTCCGTTACCAGTCACAGATGCACCCAAGGGACCAGCCACCAGATTGGAAGCCCCTGGGTGGAACAGCCACCTGGCTGTCCCAGCCCTGGGCAGAGGCGGCTCAGTGGGGCTCCATCTCAGGACTGGTGTGAGCGGCCTAGCCTGGAGGCCAGTTCCGTGACTTCTGTAAGACCTGCCTCCTGCCTCTTAACGCTCTGGGTATTTTTCCTCCTGGCGTCACTTCTGTATCGGTGTTATTTTTGCTTCTTTTTATCTGTTTCCTTCCAGGTCCAGCTTTAGGGCGCGGCTGGCCAGGCCTTAGGAGCCCTTACAATGTTTTTTGTTTTTTTATTTTATTTCTGTAGACACCAGATATAAAGCATACTTATATATATTTGTGTCCCTTTCCCCCCTCCCCCCAGTTCACAAGCCCGATGCACACTCTACACGCAGGCCACTCTGACCTCTGACCCCGTGTTCCATGTGGCAGGAGGGCCCCCGCCCCTGGCCAGGTCCCAGGTCATGGCTGCTGGCTGTCTGTGGCGGAAGTCCTTGATTGCTCCCCTCCCCCTCCTCCCCAGCTCTAACCATTCTGTCCGTCTATCTCGTCTCGTCCTCGGTTTCAAAGCAATGTCATGAAGGGCTTCCTTTCCACGCCTAAAAGGAAACAATATGGTTTGGGAAAGAGGCGGGGTTGTAGCAGGGGTTCTGGGACCCTGCGGGGAAGGGGGAAAGGGGGCGGGGTGCGCGATCCAAGGAAGTCTCCGGATTGGCTGGGATCACAGCCAATTGGGAGCCTCGAGCCTCGGGCCTCAGTCCCGCGGGGTCACCTCCCACCTGAGGCCTGTGCCCTGGCCGCCCCCACATGTAGGTCGCACTGGGTGGAAAGGCCAGCTGCAAGCGAGGGACCCAGCGTATTGTTTCCCTTTGAGGCCAGTCCTGGTCCTCGTCCCCATCCACAGCTCATGCTTTTTAATTTGCACTTTTTTTTTTTTTGCATGGACATGCCAAGTAGTGATAATGACCGCAGGGTTTTCTGTTCTATGGGGCCTCTCTGGTCAGACTCTTCTCTTTCAGATCCCGGGTCAGGTCAGTAGGGTCAGGTGTGTCCATTGGCGTGTCCTTTGAGACCTAAACGAAGGGCGTGACCGAGGTGTGCAGGGAGCCCTAGCCCTGTGAGGACGCGGCGCCAGCGGGTAAGGACACGCTGGTCTCTGTGCCTAGGTCCCTGCGCGACGGCAGCCAGGGCGGCCGGGAGAAGCTGGAGCTGGTCCTGTCCAACCTGCAGGCGGACGTCCTGGAACTGCTGCTGGAGTTCGTCTACACGGGGTCCCTGGTCATCGACTCGGCCAACGCCAAGACGCTGCTGGAGGCGGCCAGCAAGTTCCAGTTCCACACCTTCTGCAAAGTCTGCGTGTCCTTCCTCGGTGAGCCCGGAGCGCATGCGCGGAGGGATGCGCGGGGAGGGGGGGTGGGGGGGGTGTAGGATGAGGGCGGGACCACAGATGGGAAATAATTGTGAGACCGCAGGGGTTACAGAGGGGAGGTCAGGTAGGTGTGGCTGGGTTTGCCAAAGGTGTTTGAAGATGCTAATTCGGATCCCTGCATGGTCAGCTTGAGCCAGTCCCAATTATAGGTGTGACTTGGGGCAAGCTGTGAGAACCAGTGTGGGGAGACCCCAGGCCTGGTCTTCTGGCCTTGTTAGCTTTACTCTGAACACACTGGTTCACCAGCATCTTATTTCCGTTAACTTGCTTAAGACCTGGTCCACACAAGATGTCATCTGGTAGTGACTTCTGGACTGTCTCTAAGATGCAAGACCTGTTGCTCAAAATGGAGAGCCTGATGTCAGCAGCCTCTGGCAGACCCCCTCCTCAGAGGTCACTCTGTCAGTTTGTTGCCACCTCACTTGAGCAGGGAGAAGGAATGGCTAAGACCAGAATATCTCTCTCTCTCTCTCTCTCTCTCTC